GACAATGCCTACGGACTGAGATGAAGTGAGGTACTCAGAACAATACACAATTTAAAATGAATGAATTGTATGTTCCTGGAATTTTCCATTTAATACTTTCAGACCACCATTGACCATGGGTAACTGAAACTGTAGAAAGTGAAACTTCAGATAAAGAGGAACTACTGTATCACAATTTTGAAAATAGCACATTTGCCCCGATTCCACCTCCCTCTCCCCCCAAAAAGAAGCAAAAACTGGTTTGGACATAACTCTTTTTGGCTGAATATGCTTGAGACAAGAAGTCACATTGAAAGCTTGCTTCATTGCAAAGACATATGCTGGCTTGGCTAAAGCAGAGTAGTTACCACACATGTAAGACTGAGCAGTGAGTTATTTCTGTTCAAAGGGAAAATACATCCCAAGGAGGCCTAGATACCTGTACCTGGTGACTGGCTTCAGTGCTAATGAGAGCCTCATAGGGTTGGCTTATTTAGCAAATACCTTTCGGTGGGCTAAACTCCAAATCAACAAGTAAGTATATGGCAAACTGAATGCTTTCACTAAACATGACAAGATGGCTGCAGTTATCATGAAGTTTGTTGGATAGGGAGTTGATTGTGGGTACTATGAGTCATTTGAGAGTCAGTTCATTTTACATGTGATAAAAATTGCAATGTTATGGTGAAATGAAAAACCAAGCCATCAGTCTTCTTTCATTCATCAAGACTTTGTGTAGAACCCTGAGATAGGAAGGTTCCACCCAATGGAAATAAAAACCCAATAAGAAGTAAATGACGTCTCGACAAAAAGACACTGGTGGGAATCTTCAACATCCCAGTCTAAAATCATTGTATCACACCAACTTGTTGGCAACATTATGAGTGATTCTCTCCAGTATTACCTTGAAATACACACACACACACACCACACATACACTAGTGGCCTGGTGCATGGATTCGTGCACATTGAAAGGAAAATATAAGAAATATTTTAATTTTTAATATTGGATTTTTGTATTCCACATAGTCCATGTACTATATTTGATTTTACAATTTGAAAAAGTCAAAGACACTGGTCTTCATTAGGAATTTCTGCCTTAACTATATGATCAATGTTGTTTCTCCCTTACATAGTGGTGACCAGACTTGAACATAACTATTTACCAGCCCAGAGAAGAGCTGTCACCACCCACTTATAGAAAAAAAGAAATGCTTCTAATAATACATTCTAAATTCCCATAAACTATGTTTACATTTTGTTTACAGTTGATTAATACTGAATTTGTCCAGGAAATAACTTAGAATTTCTAATATGCTTCTGTAAACCATGTTTCTCTCAACCTACTCATATGCAGTTGTTGTTGCTTTATTATACAAATTCATATCCTTATAATTAGCCTTTTATTTTTCAACTTGTTTTATTTTGTTCATTCCTCAAATTGTAAAGATTCTCTTAACTGAGATATAATTGACATATAACATTCTATAAGTTTAAGGTGTACAATGTGTTGGTTTAATACATTTATATATTGCAATATGATTACCATTGTAGTTTACTAACACCTCCATCATATCACATATTTGTGATTTATTTTTTGTGACGAGAATATTTCAGATCAAGTCCCTTAACAACTTTGAAGTATATAAACCAGTATTATTTATTATAACCACAATGCTTGTCATTAGATCTCCAGAACTTATTCATCTTCTAATTGCAAGTTGGTACCTTTTGACTAGGATCACCTCCCATCCCCCCAACCCCAGCCCTTAGTAACCACCACTCTATTCCAATCAATGATGAGGGAGACTCATTGATCAGCTGCCTCTTGCACACTCCCTACTGGGGATGGAGCCTACAACCTGGGCATGTGCCCTTGACTGAAATTGAACCCAGGACCCTTCAGTCCACAAAGTGACATTCTATCTACTTAGCTATACAGGCTAGTGTTAATTCACAATCTGCTTATGTGCCTTATTTCATTTAGTATAATGCCATCAAGTGCATTCCAAGTTGTCATAAATGACAGGTTTCCTTCTTTCTCATAGCTGTATAATACTCCATCACATTGCAATGCATAAATAAAAGGGTAATTATTTTATATTTCCTAACTTTAAAAGGAAAAGAAGGTTCTCATATCTTCCTTTTTTTTTTTTTTAAATTTGTCAATCATAGTGGACTATCCTATATAATAAAAAGCTAATATGCAAATCGACCAAATGGAGGAATGACTGGTAGCAATGAAGCACACTGACCACCACGGGGCAGACGCTCAATACAGGAGCTGCCCCCTGGTGGTCAATGTGCTTCCACAGGGGGAGTGCTGCTCAGCCAGAAGCCAGGTTCAAGGCTGGTGAGAGTAGCAGTGGTGGCAGGAGTCTCTCCTGCCTCCATGACAGCACTAAGGACCCCTCAGGGGTCCTGGACTGTGAGAGGTTGCAGGCTGGGCTGAGGGACACCTCCCTACCCAGTGCACGAATGTTGTGCACCGGGCCTCTAGTTATTTTATATTAGTTTCAGGTGTACAGTGTAGTGATATCATATATAGACACATATATCACTTGAAGTGATCCAGAAAAGACTGATAGTTGCCAAAGTAGATTTCAGCAATGATTTAAGAAATAAATCAGTTTATATATCATAAATCATCTTCACTCTGGAATTTGCATTTTAGCTCACTACAAAACTATAGGTGATGGTTTTCCTCCCTCAGCACATGGAAAACACTACTCTCTTCCTTCATCTTCTGGCATCTAGTATTGCTCCTGTCCTAACAGGCTATGCCCCAGGGGGAATAATTCAGCTTACTCCTTTATCTTGCAGTTCTGGGGTTCTATTAGAATGCATGTAAATGTGGCTCTATATTTTATTGGTCCTGGGCAGCATGTCATGTGTTCTTCTAATGTGAGGCTTTGTTTTGTTGTGTTTTCTTTCAATTCTGGAAAGTTCTCAGCCGAATTCCCTGAAAATAACACTTCTTTGGTAATCCGTGAATTTCCTGCTTATGATAAAAATCTTATTGGGCATATGTTGGAGCCTTGGACAATGCTACACTGTACTTGTCTTCCTTGCGTTTTATCTCTTTATCTTTCCCTGGATTCTGGGCACAGCACTGTCTCCTATTCTCCCTGGGAAGATATTATTCCCTTTGAATATTTTTGATGACTATGTGTTTTTGTTTTTACCTTTGTTTTTCATTCTCTCCTTTTGTTTTCCTGCTTGTCTATACTTGTTTTTATAATTCATTGTTCTCTTGCATGAGTAGCACCAATGTTCTCATAGTCTTTCCTTTATCACATTGTTTATGTTAAATGTACGCATATTAAACTAGTTTTAGATGATTCTGTTTTTGAATTTGATTGGAGATGCAGCCATCTCCTGGTTGTTGAGTTGGCTCTCTGTTTTTCAGTGTTGTTTAGATTTTTTATTTTTAAGAAACACATCAAGTGAGAGGTATATTTTTCACTCTTACTCGCTCTTCATAATGTGATGCTTTTCTCTTGTCCCCACTAGTCCCTCAGAAGCTTCTTTCATCAGCATCTCAGGATCCCTGCTCTCCACCCCCCATCCATCAGTGGTTCTGGACAGGTATCTAACCCATGTCACTGAGCCTGTGGGCTACTCTGCCCAGGGCAGGGCTGGATGCATTTGTCTGTATCCTCTCCCTCCTGCAGCCTGACACTGGATAGTGTTTTCAGCATCTTTTTGTGAGTGGCAGACCCACAGCCCCTGACTATGCAGGTGCACTAGAATCTGGTCTCCCAGTGGAGAGCTTACAGTGGAGCACTTGATACCACCTGGGGTAAGGGGCCTCTGCATCCTTTTGTTCCCACACCTGAACTGCAAAATGTCTGTGGCTTTAGCCCTCATTTACTGACCATTTTGTAAGTTTTCTGGACTAAAGAGATCCTATCTTGTTTTCTAGAATACAGTAGTTTTAAAAAGTATCTATCATTGCATTTAGAACTAAAGATGTAATGTATAAAGTATGAGGTCGCAATGCCAAAATAACCTGAAGTGCTTTACATTCTCCACATGTGTTGCTCTCAGTTACACACATGACCATGTGTGTAATGTGATTTACATACATTGCATATATCTGAATATACTGAAACACCATTCAATAGAATTCATCCCTTTTCCAAAGAGGTCATAGTAAATTTGATATTATTGTACTAAAACAAATTTTTTTTTATCCTCAACTAAGTCCCAGATCAGGGTTGGGCTTATACATACAAATCAACTCACATGATCTACTATTTAAGGTCACAGGTATGGTACTCGGTACCCCAATGGTTTTCTTGTTTGCCATGATATGTAATATAAGTTCCACCAGAGCAATTCTTGATTGGATCCCATTTTATCTTTTCACAATTCTCTACAAAATGAAAATATATCTGGGTGGTGAAGGGGAAGGAGGTGATGTGTTTGCAACAAGGTTATGTAACAGAGCATAAGGTACGTGGCCAATATTATTAAGATTAGCCCGGGAAGGTGCACCGGAAGTGCCAGATAGGAGACTGAATGTTTAAAAAAAAATGTGAGAGTACACCAAAAACACACTTGATCTTCCACACAATGTTATGTCGTTGAAAACCTTGTATAGTGGTTTATGGAACTCCATTAACCTTACTGTAAACATCAGTGGAGACATGAGAAGTACACACCCCCTTCAATCACTTAAAGGTGTTCACGCTGGAAAGCAGATGTAATCATTGAGCAAAGAAGGAAGTTAAAAATACACTTTCAAGCCTCATATTTACCTTCCCAACTGATTCTGATTAAGTGGCGATATTGTTGCTATGGTTTTATGCAAGCAGGTCATGATAGAAGTTGGTCCCCAAAAGCTTTTAGGATATCCTCTTAAAACTCTTCTGGAGAAATTTTAACTTGACAGCCCAGGCCTATGTGTTTTCACCTTTTCTTCCCTCCCTCACCTTTTAATCAAATTGTGCTTCCTTACTTCCTTATCTTTATTGTGATTTTTTTCCTCCCTACCTTATGTTTTCTCTCTCTTTCAGCCAATCCGGGACTACCGTAGCTGAAATGCGAAAGAGGCAGCAGTCACAGAATGAGGGAGCACCTTCCGTATCTCAAGCACCTGGAAACCAGAGGCCCAACAACACGTGTTGCTTCTGCTGGTGCTGCTGTTGCAGCTGCTCCTGGTACGTCCTGTTATCTGTGAGATACCCTAGCTGTGTGCGGTCATAACGTCATGTCAGTTCTGAGGGTCATACAAACATCTCAATCTGTCTTCTTCCTTTAAAAGTAAAAAGTAATAGAGAACATCTTTACTTTAATGCTAACCTTTCTATATGCAGAATGCATTTCCTTAGAATCTATCCTTAAGTTGATAGTAAGGAATGAAAAATGTATCTTATATCATGTGTGAAAGTAAGATTTTGGTGGTATATTTATTTAACAATAAACGGTGTTCTTTAATGTTACAGAAGGTGCAAGAACATTGAGTTGCTATCTAGTAGTATTGGATGTGTGTGTTTTAGTTTTATGTGATTGTACAGGGTGTTGCTCATTCAGTCCCAGAGTCAGAAAACTGAGTTCGGGTGGCCGCCTCAGCCTCAGAGGCCTGACAAAGGCAGGAAAAGGAGTGTCGCAGACGCGTGCTGACAGCTCTACAGGCCAGGGGCGATGATGGGCACGGAGGCCACATCGGTTAATTAGAAACTCTGCACTCAGAGCCAGAGAATCTGCTTTCCGTTGTGATTTTATCACTGACTGGCTCTGTGACATTCAAGGTGTAATCTCTGCTCCTTGGCTTCCTTGTTGGCAAAATGATGAAGAGTTACACAAGTTGAACCCCAAGATTCTGTCTAGTCCATGATTCAGGCACTTCAAAAAACCTGCTCCAGTTCCAAATTCCCAAAGGTTCTTTAAATAAGAAAAGCAGCCAGGACCGGTTTGGCTCAGTGGATAGAGCATTGGCCTGCAGACTGAAGGGTCCCGGGTTCGATTCCAGTCAAGGGCATGTGCCGTGGTTGCGGGCACATCCCCAGTGGGGGTGTGTGCAGGAGGCGGTTGATCGATATTCTCTCTCATTGATGTTTCTAACTCTCTATCCCTCTCTCTTTCTCTCTGTGAAAAACCAATAAAATATATTTAAAAAAAAAGAAAAGAAAAGAAAAGAAAAGAAAAGCAGTAAGACCCCGAGTCCCCAGATTTGTGCAGATGCGTCTTCTCAAGGAGAGGTGAGACTAACAGAACTTTCCAAAGAACTATAGGTTTCGAAGTCCTCTAAGACCCAACTCACCAGGCGACCTTCTGGGTGAGCAGTGGTTTTCTGGAACCATCCCTCTCCCCTTCCCCCGAACTATTTCAAACACTAGAGAAAGGGCCAAATGTCTGTATGATCTCCACTGGTTCCCAGCATCCATTCAGGTTATTGTTATGATGTAGTAGCCTGTTGTTCTAGCATTGTGGCCAAAGTAGAAGATGAAATGTGTCCCAGTGCAGTGGTAAACTTGGTGTAGAACAAGCTCTGGCCATCGAGAAAATTTTGTTGCAGAAAACCATCAGATATTGTGATTTGGAAGATTTAAAGTAGGTGTTATAAATATCTAAGTTGCTGCCCAGATGATGATTCTTTGTTAGGGAAAGTAAAAAAATTATTCCTTTTATTCCATTCTTAAGCCTTGACTATTTCAGATGGAGGAAATAGAGTTCTAGAGGAGAGAAATATTTCAATAAAAACGTAATTTTTATTTCTGTATCACTCCTAAAAGAGATCACCAACCTCTGGTCTTAACCCATGAAATGCAGGGGATTATGGCCTGGTGCAAATGAGACTTAATATGGTGGCTCTGAACTTGAACTGCCTGGGTTCAAAACGCATCCTCATCCATCATTCTGCTTGACCTTCAGCAAGTTCCTTAATGTCCTCAGATTCCTCATCTGTCAAATGACAGCAGTAAGAATCCCTACCTCATAAGGTTCCTTAAACATTAAATGAAATAAAGCACTTAGTAGCGGAGAACAGTGCTTGACACATTTAAGCATGCATTTAATAAGAGTTAGCTCACTGGGCTATTGAACACTTCATATTGGAAACATAAAATCTCTTTAAAGAGGAGTTGGTTTGAAAAAACATCAGCTTGGCCCTAACCGGTTTGGCTCAGTGGATAGAGCATCAGCCTGTGGACTGAAAGGTCCCAGGTTCAATTCTGGTCAAAGGCATGTACCTTGGTTTCGGGCACATCCCCAGTAGGAAGTGTGCAGGAGGCTGCTGATCAATGTTTCTCTGTCATCAATGTTTCTACTTCTCTATCCCTCTCTCTTCCTCTCTGTAAGAAATCAGTAAAATATATATATATTTTTTAAAAACAAAAAACATCAGCTCGTAGTTATAATACAAAAATACATTGAAAAGGAAAGCTATTTTATTTAAATTCTATATAAACATCTCAAATACATTGCTACACATTTCTGAAAATTATACTTCTATTTCTCACTTGTACCAGACCATGTTCCAATAATTAGTATCTGATTTTACTTGCCAAATTCAATTCTGAATTGCTTCATGTTTAATACACCAAAACAGCCCTAGCTGATTTGGCTCAGTGGATAGAGTTGTCGGCCTTTGGACTGAAGGGTCGTGGGTTCTTTTCCAATCAGGGGCACATACTCAGGTTGTGGGCTTGATCCCCAGTAGAGGGCATAATCAATAAAGAAGGCAGCCAATCAATAATTCTCTTATCATTGATCTCTCTCTCTCTCTCTCTCTCTCTCCCTTACTCTCTCCCTTTCTGAAATCAATAAACACACACAAAATACAAACAAAAAACAACACCACCAAAACAGATCAAGTACTGAAAATTCATTGCACTGTATTCATTTGCCGTCAAACAGATATTTAGCAAGACTTGCTTTTATTAATTTTAAACATGCACATTAAATAACAAAATATTCAACATGAATCTGTGAACATAAGATTGCCGTAGAGCACAGACTATGGATCTAGAGCAGCTTTTGGAAATTGCATTAACTCTGCATACCTCTATGGTGAGATGTATGTAAACCCCAAACACATGGTGCATTAGGTGAGTTCTATTAGTTCTAGAGAGTCATTGTCAAGAACTGTGTTTGTTAGCCAGGAACCATAAGCATGTGAGCGTAGGCTATGAGATGTATAATCTATACATTTATAAATCTTCTATCTATCTATCATCTATCTATCTATCTATCTATCTATCTGTCTGTCTGTCTGTCTATCTATCTATCTGTCTATCTAAAGTCTAAGCAACCATAATGACCCAATGACCGGAACAACTGGTTGACCTGTTGCTGTGACATGCACTGACTTCCAGGGGGCAGACACTCACTGCAGGAGCTACCCCCTGGTGGTCAGTGCACTCCCACAGCCAACCTCCTGGCTGGCCCCGATTGCCCCAATCAGAACCTCCCGCAGACCCTCCTTCCCCCCCCTCCACCAGCCAGCCTCGATTACCCAGATCAGAATCTCCCACCGGCTGGCTCCTTTCTTATTACCACCACCAGCTGGCCCTGATTGGGAATGGGCAAGATGCCCAATTGGCCCCATCGCTGGCCAGTCCAAGGGACCCCACCTGTACACAAATTCATGCACCGGGCCTCTAGTATATGATAAAGAGAGGTAATTTCTACAGTAAACAACTTGATGAAGAAAATGAAAGTTAAACTGTCTTGAACTATGGCTGTTATCTCATTGCAAATGAAAATGTCCTTTAGGCCGGGACCAGTTTGGCTCAGTGGATAGAGCATCGGCCTGGGGACTGAAAGGTCCCAGGTTCGATTCCAGTCAAGGGCATGTACCTTGGTTGTGGGCACATCCCCAGTAGGGGGTGTGCAAGAGGTAGCTGATCGACGATTCTCTCTCATCGATGTTTCTAACTCTCTATCCCTCTCCCTCTCTGTGAAAAATCAATTTAAAAAAAAAGAAAAGAAAATGTCCTTTAGCCGAAACCAGTTTGGCTCAGTGGATAGAGTGTCGGCCTGTGGACTGAAAGGTCCCAGGTTCGGTTCTAGTCAAGGGCACGTACCTTGGTTGCGGGAGCATCCCCAGTAGGGGGTGTGCAAGAGGCAGCTAGCTGGTCGATGTTTCTCTCTCGTTGACGTTTCTAACTCTCTATCCCTCTCAATTCCTCTCTGTGTAAAATCAATAAAATATATTAAAAAAAGAAAAAAAAAGAAAATGTCCTTTACACATGCATTTTCAAAAAATTATTTTTTTTATACTTTGAGTTGAGGGGGGGGGGGGGGAAACTCGCAAAGGCTTATTAGAGTGAGAAGGAACAAGAAAGAAAGAAATGCTCTTCAAATTTTCCAGGCTAGGTCAAAGGAACAGAACAAAAAGAAACACTAAAAAATGTAATTTACGGACCAAAAAAAAAAGTTAGAAATCAAAATATGAGTAACTGTCATTTGTAAATAGAAGCAGTTGTCATGTAGCTGGCTTTTCCTCCTTTTAAGGAAAGAGAGTGCTAGGAAAATAAATGTCTATATCTAGTAATAAATATAAATACCTCAACCTAGGCTCACATGTTACATTTGAAACAATACAGCATTTCCCTCAAATTGCATTTCTCTTAAGTAGTCAACTCTTCTCCTATGTTTAAAGTTATCCCTTTCTTTATAAAATTACCACCACACTTTATTGGGGGGAGAAGGGGAAGATATATACAGAGAGAAAGTGCATAGCTGCTGAATATTTCCAGTTTCCTTCAAAACTGTAAAAAGTTGGGATTCTGGTCACAGTGACTGATTAAGTTGATCTGCTCTCTGCCCCTGTCCAGGGGCCGCTTCCTTCACCAGATTGGTCTCTCTGTCTCCTTCTTCTCCTCACAGCCCTTGTTTCTGGAAGAAAAAAACAAGGGAATGAGGTGTAGACCATTTTACCTGTGTTACATACATGGGTTATGGGAGCCTGAGTCTTGGCCACAAAATGAAGACTCTATTGTACATTTGCAAATTCTATACGATAGACCAAGCTTTTCCTGGAGACGAGGTAGTTTAGTCAGGACTTGTCTACAGATTCAAGGTTCATTGTCAAAACCTAATGTTCCTCTTACATCAGGATTCAAACAACATGACACCTCCTCTTCAGGTGGTTAATGCTTTTCCCCTTCTTCATGAGAAAGGAACATTTGCAGGATGACGGGATCATCACGGGGAC